AAATGCTTATTGGGATTTTGAATCCATATATCACTTCTTGCTTATTTTAAATTTTGTTGCTCATATATACCTCAGTTTGACAGAATTTTTGGGAGAGTGACTGGCCCAAAGTCACCCATATTGGTGGCTTCATGTTGGTGGTGGGATTGGAACTTATAGTCTTCCTTAATTACAGTTGAGTCACTTGGCAACCATTCAGAGTTGTGACTGACCTGAAAAGGGGGACTTATGACCTGGATTCGAAGTTCCAATGGTTGGGCCCCCTCCAGTCATGGGACTGAACTTTGGGGGCATGAACACCATGACTGCATCTACAGCAGTTTGCAGCATTCTGCGGTTATGTGACCACGTTTTATGTTTGTTCTGAAAACCAGCACCTCCAGTTTTCAGCAAGACCGCACCCATAGCAAACCATTGATTTAATGACCTCAGCATTCATTTAATGACCTCAGCATTCACTTAATGACTGCTGCATTCGCCTAACTATCACAAAAAAAGTTGTAAAATTGGGTCAGTCACGAGACTGACTTGTTTTATGGCTGTCACAACATATGACTATATGGACAGGCCTCATTACTATCACATGTCAAGGATTATCTGTGCACCAAATTGGCTCTTTTTGTTTCTGCTGCTGACCTACAAATGCATAATATCTCAGCAACATCTGGATGACCTTGTCTGAGATCAGAAGCTAAGCAGAATCACTTTGGATGGAAGATCTCTAAAGCAGGGATTCCGAACTTCTGGGCTGTGGCCCACTATTGGGTTATTTGCAACTAGGCCACAGAAATGGCGGTGAGTGGAGCTAAACTACTTCTGGCCTGTGTCCAGAAAATCATGGATATAGCAGTGACTATGAGGCAAGTTCAATTTTAAAGATCACTTTACTTTCTTTGCCTTTTATCCTGAATTTGCTAAATTTGTTAAATTTGGCCCGGAATCTTCGGCAAGGTTCAAGTGAGGAAAGCAATTTTGTTGAAATTTCTCTGGTGTTGTAGAGTTCAGAGTCCAAATGCAACAGAGAGTCATTGTTCAAACAGGCCCTTTAGCCGGTTTCATAGGGTGAAGTGGAAGAATGTTTCCCCTTAACTATAGCTTGGCCACTGTTTGCACAGAATATTTTCTCTAGATCTATCTTCTGAACATTGATCTGATTCAGCATTATGTGTAGCCTCTGAACTCAGACAAGAGTGGCCAGGTGGTGCCTCCTACTGAGCATATATATAATCCACACCCCTGAAACCCACATTGAACAGGATTCAGTTGTGGATTCAGTTGCGTAAACTGTCATTTCCCATTCTAATTATAAAGTACAGATCAGATTGAATTAGATTTGCTTATTCAAAGTTGTTTCTCCAAAGTGTGATGGCCGCTCTAGATCACTTACAAATCACATCAATAGCATAAATAAAATAAAGAATAACATTATAATTAGAGAGTGCCTGAAACATATATTCCATGTTTATTTGAATTATAATACTGTTCCTGGCAACAATGTCCTATAATTGGATGCCACCAAGGTCTTTTTTTCTTTCTAGTGATCCTGCTCAAGAATGTATGTTTTGTGTTCATTCCTAAATCATCTACATTGTTTATGCCTCAGAACAGCCTGTGTGCTGGGTGATCATCCCTTTTCTTGTTGTTATTAAAACTCCCCAAATCAGGCAAAATTGCCCTAAATACATAATCCTTAGCTGCCCTGTGGCTATTCTTGTGTTATGTATGTGAGAAGAAACCTGGGTGAATGAGGAAATGATATGGAGACGTAGTGTTCTTTTCTGGGCTGCAATGGTTGGCAATTTTTATTTTTTAATACTGGACAGCCATCTGCTGGTTCCAACATATCACTGGCATTTGTAAATTACTGCCCTCTGCTGTTGTCTGATATTATTTAAATGATATTGTCAGTTCTGATATTCAGAACTCTGAAGGCAACTGCAACTTCCTAATTGTTGAGAGAGTAAAACCAATATACCAAGGAAAAGCTGAACAATTTTGCTGGCTGACATATTTTATTTGATTGCTTTTGTTGTTTTTAATCTAGCTGTTGAAATATTGTGTCAAATAGTGGTACACTCAAAGAGACATTATAGTCCGTATTTTTTCTATCCTGCTCTATGGAGTAGAGAGTTGGTCTCTTGACAGAAGGCCACCTGAAGAGACTAGAAGCATTTGAAATGTGGATTTACAGGCGGCTGTTACATATAAGCTGGGTTGACAAGATCAGAAATGAGGAGGTGATAAGCCGCCTGGGAAAGCCAAGGGAAATCATCAGTTAGAATATCTCAGACATGTCATGCGACACCCAGAAAAATACGGCATGCTCCATTTAATCCTCCAGGGAAAGATTGAAGGCAAACGAGGTCCATGCAGAAGAAGAACATCATGGTTTCAAAATCTAAGGGACTGGTTTGGACAAAACTCAGCAGCACTTTTTTGTGTGGCTGCTGATAAAAACAGGATCACCAACATGATCGCCAACGTCCAATAACGGATATGGCACAAGAAGATTGCATATTTATTTCTAGTTTATCAGAAGATATATAAAACCAAGCAGACAAAAGCTGTACCATTTCCACATACACAGGGAAGGTTATCAGAATTGACATTTTGAATTCAAGTTTATTCTTAGCCTCTTTAAGCTATTCAGGAACTGTGTGCATGGACAAAAAATGGGGACAGCACTCTGTTTCTTCTGCCTTCATCCTTCTGGTTGTGGAAATGGTCTGGGGGAAAAAATCTTAACTACATTTGGCTGGACATCTACAGTACCTCATAAATTGAGGACTCAGATTACATAGAGTTCCACTCCCATACAGTATAGTTATTTAATCTTTTTATTCTATTTATTTACTAAATTTACAGCATATGTTGCTCATCTTGCTATCCAAAGCAACTTTAGTAATAGTGTCCTGCAGTTCCTTTTGAACCTAGAAAAATTGAGAGCCAGACAGGGTGGAAGGCTGTCCCCTGCCCCAGAATAGAATTCTGAACAACTGAGGAAGGCATTTGTCATGGTCAGTGCGATGGATTTTGAACTATATGTCTATGTTACAATTAATAGTCATGCCTGTGCTCCCCAAAATAGTAATAATTCCACCAGTATGCCTAGTTAATAATTGTAGAATTTTTCAGAAAAGGAAAATTTTGCTATTAAAATTTGTCCTGCCATTGCCAATGCAGATTTTTTTCCTGTGATTGATGTGGAAGATGCCTTGCAAATGAGCAAGTCCACGCCTCTGATAGTATCCAATCCCTGAACTGGGTGGATTTTTTTTTTTTAGGAGCAGGAACATCAGGCTGCATACCTCAGAATGTCAGAGTTCCAGCCAGTTGCATGAAATGAATGGCTCTCTCTGATTTCAGACTGGGGAAGAAATGCCTGAGGCAAATTGGAGAAAATGGCTTGGAATTTCAGTGACCCGCTGAAAAGCTATCTCCTTAATTCCCTGACCTAAATCCAAGGTTATATGTTGAAATTTTATGCTCTGCAATTAACTTTTGTTTAGAAAACAAAATACAGCAAAATAATCCCTCGTGCCAAAGTTTGCTCTTGGATAGACATATCTGAAATTTATTGATCCCATATATCCCATTGGTTTACCACAACTTTTTTCCCCCCAATATGCTTTTTAAATTCCCAGTCCAGCCTGCATAATTACGATTTCCCTCAACCATGGACTAACCAGATTCGGGCCTGTTTAGCTTCTGAGGTCTTCAAGTCAATTAGGGGCTGTTGAATATCCTAGTCCACCTTCCTGATCTCATGAACTATATTTCTCTAAGTAACAGTAACAGAGTTGAAAGGGATCTTGGAGGTCATCTAGTCCAACCCCCTACTCAAGTAGGAGACCTTACACCAGGGGTATCAAACTGCTGGCCGGTGGGCGGGATGTGTCGTGCCGAAACCGCGCCCACCCCATTGCTGGCAATAGAAAAAAAGTCACGATACATTGCAACACATCATGTGACTTGCGAGTTTGACACCCCTTACCTACACCATTTCAGACATGTGGCTGTCCTGTCTCTTTTTAAAAACCTCCAGTGATGGAGCACTTCTGAAGGAGAATGGAATGAAATGGAACGGAACAGAATAGAGTTGGAAAGGATCTTGTAGGTCATCTAGTCCAACCTCCTGCCCAAGCAGGAAACCCTATAACCAGTGTNGTGACTTGCGAGTTTGACACCCCTTACCTACACCATTTCAGACATGTGGCTGTCCTGTCTCTTTTTAAAAACCTCCAGTGATGGAGCACTTCTGAAGGAGAATGGAATGAAATGGAACGGAACAGAATAGAGTTGGAAAGGATCTTGTAGGTCATCTAGTCCAACCTCCTGCCCAAGCAGGAAACCCTATAACCAGTGTTTCTCAACCTTGACAATTTTAAGGCATGTGGACTTCAACTCCCAGAATTCCACAGCCAGCAATGCTGGCTGTGGAATTCTGGGAGTTGAAGTCCACATGCCTTAAAATTGTCAAGGTTGAGAAACACTGCCTTAGTTCTAGGTTGCTTCTCTCCTTGGTTAGTTTCCATCCATTGTTTCTTGTCCTGCCTTCAGCTGCTTTGGTAAACAAATTGCCCCCCCTCTTCCTTGTGGCAGCCGGGAGTTGTAGTTCTAAAAGCATTATTATTAGTAGTATAAGCCTGGAGCTATTTCCTGGTTCCTAAGCGGCAAGCTGTCACGGGCAGGAACGAGGCACTTAGAAATGCCACTCGTGGAATCACTGGAAATCATGTTCCTAGACATGATTTCTTAAAGAGCTCAGGCCTACGCTTGCTTTACCAGAGCCTTTCCTCTTCGTCTCCTCCTCCGCGTTTGCTGAGGCCACTCTATATTTGACTATCTCTATGCTCGCAGGTTGCTGACGTCAGACAGGTGACGTTTCTTCGGCGGTGGCGGGAAACTAATGTCGGGTTCGCGGCCCGGGCGGTAGACGTAACTCCTCCCACTCGAGAGCCCTTGCTCCGTCAGGCACGCCCCCCCCCCATGACACTTGTGAGCCAGGCGTGTCAATCAAGGCGGTAGGTTCTCTCTCTTGCGCGATTCTATGTTAAATCGTCGAGCGGCCGGAACTGCCTCTTCCCCCCCCCCCCAAAAAAAAATCCGAGTCTCCTCCCTCCGCAGAGCTGCGCTCCTTCCCCGCCCCAAGAAAGGTAGGCTTCCCCCGCCCCCCTTCTCGCGCCGTTTCGCTGCCGGTCTGGGAAGTTCTCGGTCGCGGAAAGCGGGAGTCGCGCGCGCGCGCGCGCGGGATGCTCATCCTCCTTCGGAATTCCGGCGCCCTTCCTCGAAGCCCTGGCCTCTGCCCCGTGGCTTCTGAGTCACACTGGGGGATGTGGGGTGCCCGGGGGCGGGATCCTTGCCGTTAAAGGAACTGCTGAGTTAAGAAGGAGAACCCGCTGCGGTGGGCATTGGGGTTTTGTGCCAGAGTGGGCTGCATTGTTGTTGTTTTTTTTGCCCTTTCCACCGGCCTGTGTTCTCTCCTCCCCCCCGGGGGGGCATTGTAATTTTTAACAGAAACAACGGATGCAGGCAGATCTCAGATCTTCTCAGTGGAACCAATTGCTAGAGAGGTGGCGATGCCTTTCGTCAGCCAAACCTTTCTTCAAAAGGGCTTCCCTTTGAAATAGCAGCACATCTTCCTCCTCCTCCTCCGATCCCTGCACTGAGGCTGGTCCTGATATGTTTAAAAAATAAATATATGCATGGAATGCTCTGTGTGTGTTTGTGTGTGTGTATGTATGTACCGGTATGTATGCATGCATATATATGTATGTGTATATGTATTTATGTGTATATATATATGTGTGTGAGTGTGTGCACGTGTGTGTGTATGTGTATTATTATTATTATTATTATTATTATTATTATTATTATTATTATTATTATTATTTATTGAATTTATATACCGCCCTATCTCCCTTACGGGACTCAGGGCGGTGAACAGGCGATAATAAAAACCACGATAAATATACACAAGTATATGTGTATATTGTGTATATGTATGTGTGTGTGTATACATACAATTTTTTAAAGAGAAAAACAGTACAAATTTTGAAAAGAAAGTAAAGTAATATGTAAAAAATGTAAGAAAGAGAAAAGAAAGATTTTTTAAAAGCTTATCAAGAAGTGGGTTTTCAACTGTCTTAACAGCAGTTTCAAGTATATCCCAGAATTGTAGATCACGAAACAAGGAGCATCCAAAGATCCTTCTATTAAACACATACTCCCTCTATGATTCCATTTTTAACAGTGTGGGAGTTCACATTTTTGGGTTTAACAAGATTGTGTATTTCTGAACGCCTTCTTATTCCTTTCCTCTTCTGAAGATCTTTTCAAAGTAAATTTTAGAGTAGAGGTCCAAAAAACAAATAAATATGAAGATTATTCTGTAGCTCTTTGAAAAAGAACCGCTTGATCTTAATATGTGGTTTAAGCAAGTTTTTGTGCATCTATATGCTCAAATTTATTTAAAAGTGTATGATGTAGTTTTTGACAAATAATTGAGAGAATTTGCAAAGAATACAAGGACACTGAGAGACTCCAAATATGAGACACACTATTTTTCAAGTACTGTATTCAGCATGGATGTTGGAAAAGATGGACATGGAGGAAAAGGGAAGAAGTAAAAGAAACTAGAAGGAAAGTAGATTGAGTACCAAAAAAGAAAGCAAAAATCCAGTATGAAGAAATCTTGGATCCTAAGTAATCTCTCAACAGAAGGAATGAAAGTGGGTATAAGAAAGAGGATGCGGAAGCTGTTTGGAACAGAATTAAAAGAACTGCATAAGCATTTAGCATTACAGCTTCAGTTACCAAAGCAACTTTAGGTGATACAAAGCAATTATAGTTACAAATGACAGCAACAGCAACAAATATTACCAAGCCATGTCAGGGAGATAGTACTGCATGTATATTCTGTAACTTCCTTGGTGTTAATTTTTCCATCCATTTCCAATAACCATCTTTCATTAGTGACAGCTTTTTCACAAGCTATTTATTCAACAATGTTGGCTCCTTTAGATATTGTTTTGTTTTCTTTCTCATTGGTATTATTTGAGATTACACTATCCTTAATTTTCTTTTTAAGAATTCTCAGCTGTTTGCCCCACCTTTAATTTTATGAGTCTATTCTCATGAAAACTTCTTTATTGTTTTTGTTAGCTTATTCAATTGGCCTTTTGAAAATCCACTGTTTGTGTTTATTTTTAATCAAGCTTTTTATTAAAAACAAAAGCTCTTATCTATACCCAAAGTCCTCACAACTTTCTGCCTTTCCTTACATACCATAGTAATATTGAGGTGAAAGCTTGAGTGTCATCTAATTTATGGATCAATAAAGTCTGGAATAGATGGTGCTAGTCTACCTTTTGAATTGTGGATGAAATCAAACAAACGTTTTGACAAAATTGTTTACTGATGTTTTATTCTTTTAGTTCTATATTTAGAAATTTGTTTATATGCAAATCTAAGCAAATTACATATGGCATATTGTTTCCCTTATCTAGAAAGATTACTGAAACTGTCACTTTTTATTCTATTTAACTATTACTCTGCAGGGTTTTTTGAATACAGTTTACTGCTAGTGGAAAGAAGAATATTTTTCAAACATGTCTAAGATTGATAAAATGAGCATTCTTGGTGTGAGGAGCTTTGGTGTGGAGGATAAAGATAAACAAGTTATCGCTTTCTTTAATCCTCTAACTATTTTGGTGGGTCCAAATGGTGCTGGAAAAACGGTAAGATTCAAGTGGGTTTGATTTCTTTTTAAATAAACTATACTTTCTTACCACCCATCCCAATGCTCAGAAGTGGCTTAATTCTGAGAATAAATATATTTTAAAATCTTAACTACAAATATCCCAAAAGAATAATAAATAACAAAATTGGGGATTATGTCTTATGAGGAAGAGTAGTATTCTGTTTTTCATTTACCTTGAAGATTAGCTCCTTACAAATAAAACTTTTTTTAACAATGACATTGAAAGAACAAATTGTATAGAATATATATTTTCTTTTAAAGAGATATATCATCAAAATTTCTGTGTGCTCATTTACAGATCGATTATTTAATTTGCACAAGTACCAAGATTCTGTCCTTACTTTACTCCCCATCCCATTGGTTACTTCTTTTTTCTTTTCTCTTTATCCTTCCTATCCTGTCTTGTCTCTTGACCATCTCTCTTTTTCTCCCTTCATTCTCTTAAATTTGTGGCTGCTTTTTTAAAGGTAACATCAATTAACTTTTTATTTATATTTTAATGGTTCAACAGATAAATTCTCATCACACACAAAGTGTTTATGAGCAGGTTAACTACAACACTGAATATTTTTTTAAAAAAACATGACTGCACAGCACACATGCATTTCTTAAGTAATTTGTACATTCATTCCAGTTTATCTACCTGCTCTATATTTGGCGGAAATTTTGAATATGTCCATGGATTTGTAGCTGTTCCATGGTATTGATGTATGTTTCTTATTTATATGTATTTTTAATAATAATAATAATAATAATAATAATAATAATAATAATAATAATAA